CCTGGTGGATAAAGACCTGGGGGTGTACTGGTTGACAGCCAGCTGAATATGAGCCAGCAGTGTGCCCAGGTGGCCAAGAAGGCCAATGGCATCCTAGCTTGTATCAGGAATAGTGTGGCCAGCAGGAGTAGGGGAGTGATCGTGCCTCTGCACTTGGCACTGGTGAAGCCCCACCTTGAATACTGTGTTCAGTTTTGGGCCCCTCACTACAGGAAAGACGTTGCGTTGCTGGAGCATGTCCAGAGGAGAGCAACAAAGCTGGTGAGGGGTCTGGAGCACAAGTCTGATGGAGAGGGGCTGAGGGACCTGGGGTTGTTCAGCCTGGAGAAGAGGAGGCTGAGGGGAGACCTGATCGCCCTCTGCAACTGCCTGACAGGAGGGGGTAGTGATGTGGGTGTTGGTCTCTTCTCCCTGATAATGGACGATAGGATGAGGGGAAATGGCCTCAAATTGTGCCAGGGGAGGTTTAGGTTAGACGTTAGGAAAAATGTTTTCAGTTAAAGTGTTGTCAAACCTTAGAACGGGCTGCCCAGGGAAGTGGTTGAGTCAATGGCAGTGTTAGGTTAACGGTTGGACCTGATGATCTTAAAGGTCTTTTCCAACCTAAATGATTCTATGATCTCTAACCGTTACCTCTCCATGGTGGTCTCCCAGAAGTGTAATCCTGTGCCACATGGCCTGTGGGATTCCCTGTCTTTAGGGCGAAATAACGGGGCAGCCCATCGCATGTCTGTCAGCTGGGGGCTTTCCCCTTCCATCCTTCCGTGCTGGCCTCACCAAAGCTTTCCCTGGAAGTCTCCCATGGGCAGAGACTGCTCCTGATGCAGCTGGGTCCTGCACCATCTGCACAGGAGGTAGAGCTGTGGGTGAGAAGCATTGGAAGAGCATGGCCACATCTCAGTCCACACCTGAGCAGTCTTGTCTACTGCAACATGCTGGCATGGGACTCCACGCTCTTTGGAAGCGTAACAGCTGTTGGTGGGGTTGCCTGTTAGTTAGAAATGCATTAACTGGGTTGTCTCAGAGGCTTTCAGTGACTGCTTGACGGGTTTCTGAAAGCTGATGTTAGACACCTGCCTTTGAACACGGTTCAGAAAGCACTGCCCCCTTATCTCAAAGAACTGTTTGGTAAAGGTTTTGCTCAAAACCCCTTTTTGCAGAGAGATTCTCCGCCCTCTTTTCTGTATGCAAGCTGGCATTTTCAGTGGAGAAGGGCGACGTCTTGTGCGCTGGCTGGGGTGACAAGATGGAGAGTCAAATCAAACAAAGTACAAGTTGCCTAAAAATGAGGGCTCACTGAAGGCAATGCAGAGATGCTCCCCAGATCTGCTGGCTTTGAGTCCCAAGAGCCCAGACCAAATTGAGTAATTTAGGATTCCACACTGCTATTTCATTTATGTATTCCCCCCACTTATGCACACATGGGCTTAGGCTGCAGGTCTTTTTGCTCTGAATTTAGAAGTCTAAATAGGACTTCATTTTTTTCTGTACTGTGTGGGATCAGGGTCTTCTTGGAGACGCTTGTCACAGGAGAAAAGGCAGCTCTGAGAGGCCATGTCCCAGCATCAGCTTTGGGAAAAATCTGTGACAATCTGTTCAAACAGGTTAGAAAAAAGACCTGTTGTTTTGTAACTGGTGCCGTCTTTTCAGCCTCCTCCTCTGCAACCAGATGAGTTGAGTTTATTCCCAGAATTTCCTAAATTTAGTTGAGAAATTTTTGCAGCAACATTAACTATTTGTGAAGACGTCTGCAAAGATTTTAACGCTGACTTTCCTGTGGCCTTTGTGGGCAAAAAGAAATATTCCAGCTATTAATTTTACAAAAGCTGCGTTGTTCAGTAAAAGGTATTTGAGTGCGATGCCCTAAAAATACTCCAATTTCCTTTTACACTCTTGGAAATGGCGCTCTCTTTATCTTGGATGCCCCGTGAGTCGATTGCATCAGACACCAACAGAAAGGTATTCAAGCATGGGCTGAAGCCTCACTTCAGTCAACAGAGCATGGACTCAAGTCCCATTGACTTTGGGGGAGTGTAAGCGGAGTATTAAAGCGAAACACATGCTCAAGTGCATTCTTTCTTCAGGAAAATGTCCTGAACCAAAGCCTTAACACACAGTATTCCTCCCATGCTGTTTTTTCTGTGTTTGAACACAAGGTCAGGGCAAGTCCTCCTCTGTTCCCACAGTTCCAGCTGAACATCACCTCTGAAAATGTGACAGTGAGTTAAATTGCATACTTTGGGTGTGAAAACTCTTCCCTCTTGTTGGAAGTGGAAGGGTCACGAGGAGTACTACTTCTTTGCCTGTGCGTAACAATTTTATCCTACATAGGGCCACCCACCCATCACTTTTATTCATTACAGAATAGGAGAAGAAATTGGAGAAAATCATCTTGAAGTGGAGGGCTCCCCGGGTGTTTGTATGAACAGATCAGCCCTGAGGGTTGTCAAATTCTTGGTTGTGTCGGGGTGAACTTTTTGCAGAGAGGTACAAGGTGGTGACTAATTCCTGTGCTGTTCGATGAGTTGTGGTTTTCTTATCTAAAAAGAGTTGGGGGGGAAGAGGCATTGTGCACATTTAATTTCAAGCTGTTTTTTTGCAAAAGCAAAGCATTATTGTCTCTCTTTTTTTTCCTGTTGTTTTTTGTTGGGTGCTGTTACCTTGCTGAAGTTTAATTGCTGGGCTGGCTGGCTCTTCCCTGTGCCGTGTGTGTGGGTTGTTTGAGTGAGTTGGCTCTAGGAGCTACCCGGCAAAGAAGAGGCTGAACTGTTTTTTCCCCTCCATAGAAGAAGGGGAAGGAAATCCCAGAGCTGCTGAGAGACGCCAACACAATTTATGGCTGTTGTTCTGTGCTCCTTAATGTTGTTCAGTGCTGGCAGTTCTTTCTTTTCCTGCAGCAAGTCTTTGCCTCCAGGGCTGCAGGAGGTGATGTGTTTGGGAAATAATGGCAGATAACAGGCAGAGCAGAGCCCTTGTGGTAACCAGCAGTGTTGGGCAGGACTGTTGGGCTGTGGAAACCCCCTGCTGTGTCGGCAAATGTGCTTCCCTGGGTAGGAGCTCTCTGGAGCAGGCATCTTCTGCTGCAGATAGTGGCTCACCCATGTGAGGGAGGCGCAGGAACCAGCGGGTGTTGGGGCACCCAACTGAGCACGGAGTCTGGTTGGGATCATGTAGTTAAGGATTCAGGAAAGTGCTTTAAAAATCATTTTTGCTAAGCCAAACCTTCATTTCAAGGAGAGAGAAGCTCATTCTGCTTAAATGGTCAAGGAGAGCAATGCGAGGTAGCTTGAATATAGCCTCTGACTACTTATAGAAAGAGAAAACTTTTGCTAGCAGAGGTCATGCTGATCTAAAGAAAAAGCTGTAACAGAATCAAGTAGCTGAAACTATGCTGTTATTGGAGTAACGGATCGATACATCCTTTTGATTCTGGGAAATTCACATGAAACAGATTTTTGATTGTAGGTCATAGCCATACAGCAGAATAGAATATTTCCATTGGAAGGGATCTACAAGGATCATCCAGTCCAACTGCCTGCCTGCTTCAAGGCTGACCAGAAGTTACAGCATGTTGTTAAGGGCATTGTCCAAATGCCTCTTAAACACCGACAGGCTTGGGGCATCAACCACCTCTCTAGGAAGCCTGTTCCAGTGTTTGACCACCCTCTCAGTAAAGAAATGCTTCCTAATGTCCAGTCTGAACCTCCCCTGGAGCAGCTTTGAACCATTCCCACACATCCTATCGCTGGATCCCAGAGAGAAGAGCTCAGTACCTCCCTCCCCATGTCCGCTCCTCAGGAAGCTGTAGAGAGCAATGGGGTTGCCCCTCAGTCTGCTTTTCTCCAAACTAGACAAACCCAGTGTCCTCGGTTGCTCCTCGCAGGACAGGCCTTTCAGCCTTTTCACCAGCTTTGTTGCCATCCTCTGGACGCATTCAAGGACCTTCACATCCTTCTTAAATTGTGGGGTCCAGAACTGCACACAGTATGCCAGGTGGTTTTGTCAAAAAAGTTCAGACTTTTTGATGAGGTTTTGTACAAGCTGGTGTTGCTACACGTGTGAGGAAAAATAAAACTCATTGACTTTTTTTTGAACCACAGTGAGGCTCAGTCTGAATTTCATACAGATTTGGATTTATGCAGCCTTCCTCTGAGCATTCTGTCCACATGGTGGGAACACGCTTGGTGTCTGGCCGTGCATCGGCAGGGTGGGAAAGAAGGACCTGCTTTTCTGGATGTGGTTAGGGAAAATGTAACAGGGCTTCCTAGAGCTCCTGCTTTAAAAAAACAAAATGGAAAGTCAGAATAATCTAACTAAGTTTTTAGTTCACCCAAGAAGGAGTGTCATAGCATGGGATACAGCTGGTTCCACAGGTCATCCTTTTCTTGGAGCTGTAGAGAATTGTCAGCTGAGAACCAATCTACATATGGGACCTCTTAATGTCGTGCATGTAGGGGAGCAGCTTGTATGTGTGTGAAATACCTGCGAGCTGTTAAATCACCACCGGTGTGAGACAGGTGATGTGATACCCAGCAAGGTACTAATGCAAAGCTGCTGGTGTCACCAGGGCCACACCGTGGGCTTTACACGTTGCCACTTGTTTCAGCTTTTGTGCCTGAGTGAGCTGAAAGCAGAAATCGGGGAAGGTAACCGGGTTTCCCCATCGTGGCTCTGCTGGGCTTTTCTTGGGGTGGGGTTTGGAGGTGCAGTATCCAGACAGAGTGGCCCCAGTATTATGGGAAGCGCCAGTTCAGGCTGCTGGAGCCTGGCTGCAGGTTCCTATGCAGACAGTGGGGTGACAGCTCCAGCATCCCTGGAGCTTTTATTCTGCACGTGCTGTAGATGGCAAATTATACCTAAAGCTTAATGAGCCCTGGAGAGAGACCTACCTCCACAGCAAGTGCAGGTGGGCTCACACCCTGGCTTCACAAATCATGAGTCCGTCCCACCCACAATTCAAGAGACTAAAAAGTGCCAGATTTAGAAAGGTATGTGGGAGGCTATATATATTGTGTGGTTTTCCAGCCAGTGCACATTACCAAGCTTTTCTCCACAAACAGAAGGGCCAGGCAGGCAGGAGCAGATTCTCACATTGGTGTTGATCATTCCTGCAGCAGTGATTCTAGCAAAGGTGTAACACTTAACATGACATTAGCGCATTAACAGAGTTGGATGGGATTGACCTGAACAGCAAAGCTCTGCCCAGGACTGTCCTCTTCTCAGTCTTTTGGGCTCAGGTCTTAAGATGCAAGTTCATTTCTAAGGGCTTCCTCTTCATGCCCTGCCTGCAGTTTGCCAGATTTCAAGGAGATGAAGTTAAGAAGATCGAAAACACAAAATAATTGGTTTGGTCTGTTGTAGAGAGTTTCTTCTTGTATAGAGTGCTCTTCAGTCAAGGACGGAAAGGAGTGGAACACAATAGTTTAAAACTGACATGAGGTCAGAGCTGAGGCTAAAAAACTTCTGGTGGCATGCAGAGCTCAGAGCTAAGTTTTGAATCAGGATTCTGGCAGAATAATAAATCTTGCCTTCTAAAGCCCTTCCTAGGAAAGAATACAGCCCCCACTAATATACTTTTTCCTTCATTTCTTCCCTTGGATGACATTAAAGCAGCCACCTTGGTCATAGAGCGAATGCAACTGAGCAATTACATCAAGTCCAGCCCACCCCAAGCTTTTTGAGAGCTGCCAGCAGGGTGTCATGGGGTGTTGTGGCATGGTGACCTGCCCCCACAGGGTGTTTGCGGGGGCTCCCACTGCAGGAAACTCCAGCACCACTGGGGGCTTCACGCCATCCTCCACTGGGTAGATTGGTCATTGTAGAGCTGGTGGCTGGCGTGACACTCGGCATGAGCATCACCCCGACCACTGCACCCCATCGAAATGTGTTGGGCAAACGCTGGGATGGGATACATTCCTGCCAGACTTTAACAGGACCTCTCTCTCCTTTCAGTTTGAAATAGAGATTCAGAGGATTTCAGAAGCTTATGAGGGATTGGTCAAGACCACCACTAAGAGGGAGTCCCTGGACAAAGCGATGAGAAACAAACTCGAAGGAGAAATTAGGAGACTTCATGACTTCAACAGGGATCTCCGTGGTACGTTACACTTGCTTGTGTGGGTTTTTTTCCCTGGTTGTCATGGTGTTTCACTTCTCACAAGCTCCAGAGCAGCAGGCTTTAGAGGAGAAGCTTCACATGTGTTTTAGATAAATGTCCTGAGAAATCAGGCCCTGTTCGGCGGCATAAGACAAAATTGCTGTCACCCCCCAGCTGGCAAGGAAACCTTCTGGCAAAATATGAGAGTCAGCTTCAGGTGGTGCCTTTGCATTTAGCACTTGCAAATTCTGATATGACAGCAAGGCCACCAAGTCCCAAAGTCTCTTCCAGCTCTAATGAGCTGAAGAGCAAGTAGCAATATAGAGCAATGCTGTACAACCCATAAATCTCAGTGTCTTCACGAACCAGTAGCAAGTATCAGACAGTATCTCTTCTTTTTTTTTTTTTTTTTTTTTTAATTAAAAACATAAAATCGGGGGTATATCCTTTTGAGAAAGCAAATAGAGAATATGTTGGGTAGCTATTACATGTCCAGGTTCATGATGGGGTTACTTTGGTACCTCCTTGTGCAGTGAGATGCCTTTTGCAAGCTGGCTCATGCTTTTTGCAATGGTGCAAGGGAGGTTGAATGGTCTTTTTGGAGGAGGGAGGCACCTGAAGGCAGGACCTTCTCAGGGGAAGCTGTCCCTGGCTGCAGAAAACTCCACTTTCCCCAGGACATCCCCAAGGGTTGGTGTCACTGGGCTGGGGGCTCCCTTCCCCCAGGGCTTCTCACTGCACCAAGGGCAGCACTCCCCTGCAGGAGGGCATCCAGCCCCTTGCAGATCTCGGTAATTCAGATTGCAAATGCCATGTGCATTTTGGATAGTGTCAGAGATTAACTGCCTGAGCATGTCAGCCATGAATGGCAGAGGCTTTTCCCCGAGTTTCTGTAAATCTGAATGACACAGCTTCATGGAAGGGGTCAAAGGCCTCGTCTTTTATGTGTGTGTCAGCCTCCATTTTAACGTCCTCCTTCAGAGAGTCTATTTATACTGCTCTGCTGGCATGCATCTTATTTTCTTGGTTGGCCTACAATTTTATATACATATATTTATACTTAAAGTATTTCCTGTTTTTTGCAGAGCGACTGGAGACGGCCAACAGGCAGCTGGCCAGCAGAGACTTTGATGGGCATGAGGATAAGTCAACAGAGGGCCTTTATGTCACTCAGAGTGAGTACTGTGCTAATCTGTTTTAAAGGTGCATATATATATATATATGCTCACATACAGATATATATGTGCTGGAGTGGAGGTGAATACTTTGCTGTTAATTGTTATTTTTTTATGGCTTGGTTTTACTCAGCTAATTTGTCACATACTCTTATTTAAGCTGCAGGCTGGGTTGTTTAAGCTTTCTTTTTTTCTCTCTGAGCACCAGAACCAGGCAGTGGGAGTTAATGGTAACACAAAGTAGCTTATTTTTGATAAACATTTATCTGAAATTGTGAAGTGTTGCTTGTGGGAGACGCATGATTTTTAGAGAAGCCAAATTCTTCTCTTGGCTGGGATAAGCCCAGAGCAACCTGTGCTGACTTGTCAGTGACAGGGTTTGACTAACAGGAGGCAGAGCAGAGCTGGACCCTCCTTTTCACAAAGGATGGAAGAAACAAAGATTTTACAACTTCTACTGCTATGAAAAACATCCATTCCTGACAAGTTTTAGGCTCCTGTAATGACTGAGCACAGTGCTGCAGCATTTCTCTGCCATGTGCTGACGGCTCCTTGTGACCAGTGAAACCAAAACCCAAGCAGCTGGATGGTGCATGACAGCACGTGGCTTCTCGTGTATCCTGAGCATCTTCAGCACACTTCCAGCAGGGCTTGACCACCTGGGAGCTGTGCGGTACCATGTGGGCTTAAATCCCATTGAAGCTCAATGCTGTGTACCACTGATCCTTCTGTTTTATTTGTTGCACCAAGAGCTTCCTTGGAATATGAGCTGCAACTGCAGATCCTTAGGTGGAGAACTGGCCACGTCCATTAGCAGTGCGGTGTTTGATACCACTCAGCATGCCTTGCTTCCAGTCCTGCAATGTCCACCACCTGCTTCAAATGCAGGAGAGCCTTCCTCTAGCTCCCACCAGCAGTGACAATGCCAGCACGGCAACTTTACTGATAATTGTGCACGTGTGCACAAACCAGAGGAGAATCTAAGGATCTTTTCCATGTCTCTGTTAGTGTTGCCGTATTAGCAGATGCCACAGGGGCATGTAGGTACTGCTGAGAATCCAAGGGGATGATCTGTTAAGAAAATAGCACTGCTATGTAAGTCTTGTCATCTTTGGGAAGAGTTCAAATGGGGTAAGTTGCACAGCCCAAATTGCAGACTGGGGTCTGCTGTCTTCATATAGAGACAGCCTGGCAGTGTTCCCATATGCTGGTAGCTGCAAGGGGGAGTTAAATCCCCAGGATGGACTGAATTTGAGACATTTTTCCAGTGCATAAACATGCTCTGTGCTTCTACTGATAAATATCTAGCAATAAAACTTTGTGCTGTGCACTCAGCATATTACTGCTATCAATTCACAGCTTATGAACAAATATAGCTTTTCGTATCCTATCACATAAGACAGGCTGGATGCTTGGAGTGTCTCCTGGCTAGGCCAGAGAGCTAAATGTTACCAATGCAATGCAGAGTGCTTCCAAGAATAGAAAAATGGGTACATGCAAAGCAGGTCCTCTTTAGTCATGTTCTTTGGGCTGCTGGGGCACACGCAGTAATGACCTCGATACCAGGGTATCAACCTAAAACACCCCCCTGACAGCTCATAAAAGCTTTTGCTTGGAAATCCTCTGTTGCTGACTGCATTTATATGCTGATGTTTGTGAGTCTTCCCCAGGGGCAGACCATGACTGGGGTTGCACCTCACTGCCAACCTGGGGGTTTTGCAAGCACAGCTTGTACCCTCCTCGTGTCTTTTGATGGGATGCTCAGGCAGAAAACTGAGAGGAGAAGGGGTACAGCATGTTTTAGCTGCCCTGTGTACACTTGTCTCCTGAGACTGAACTAGCAATTTTTAGAAGAGAAAAAATGGTGCCTATGAGTACTCCCATCAGCTGTGGCAATTTTGTCCTGAAACTTGTGTTTGGTTTTTTTCTGAAGGGTAGTAGCTTTTTACGCCAGATTAGTAAATGCAAATCTTAGTTTTCATTAGGAAAGCAAAAGCAGATTTCTAGTCCCTATGTTTATGGACAACAGCCTGAAAACATGACCCTTAACATCCCCAACCCGAGTTTTATAAAAAGACTCGAACATCAGCAGGTTCCTAAAAGTTGTAATTTTTAAGCCAGTCTCATGATGGGATGAAGAAGGAAAGATAAAACTCTTGAGGTTTTTTTTTTTTTAACACACATCCTTGGTAATACTACAAAGGCAGAATTAACACTGCGGTAAAACTCCTGCAATAGGAAAAACTCCCTGAAAAAGAAGTCTGGCAAGGCAGGGTGTGCAGGAATCATTTCTCAGTTCCTTGCAGAGCTCTCTATTAGCAGTGCAACAGTGCAGAGCGGTCGTGGACAAAAACCCTTATTCTTTGTGATAATAATAGGCAAAGCCAGGCTGCGTGCCTCCAAGTATTAAGTGCTAGGCATTTGTGCCTAAGAAAAATGCTACTGTTGTATCGGCGGTAGGAGAGAACGTGATAATTGTGTAATATTTTGTCAGTGAAAAAAAGTTCTTTTAAGGAAAAACATGAAGCAGTGACCGATGAAGGCGTATGGGCCCATACAGGTGAGAGAAGAGCCAGGCAGGAGGAGGCTGAGAAATGCTGTAGAGAGGGAGAGGCAGGAAGACTGACGATGGTTTCAGGGGCATAGGGCAGAGAGAAAGCTTATGATACAGCATATCGTGGGCAAAATTTGTTTTGGTGGAGTCTGAGAATTTTGTATTTTTCTGGGATTTGTGGATTACAGACACTCTGTCAGAGCAAGGGTTCCTGCAAGGGGCTGTTTTTTCAGGTGTCTGAGGCAGATCGAGGTCTGTGCCCGTCCATGTGGCTCTGCACCCCTTAGTGGGGATGCATAGACAGTTTTGGCAGTGTGTCGGTAGAGCCTCACACTTTGTGGGAGCGTGCAGTGGATGTGCCGCATATGACTTGTGCATATATCTCTGTCCCAAATATCCCAGGCAAAGAAATATCCTCATCGAATGAATCCAGCCAAAGAAAATGCTCACAGTAGATGTTTTTGAGAGTGGGGTTTTGGGCAGACTACAAGCCATTCTGTGTTAAGACAGGAAATAATCAGGGCAGAGGCAGAAGTTTCAGGGGCGAGTGAAAGGGAGCTCCTCGGCCTCTCATTTCACAGCCGTGAGCTGCATGTGGGGAGGGGGGAGCCGCTGCCCCCTGCACTCGGAACCAAGGGCACCTGTGCAGGAAGCAGCACCCTGAAGAAACAGTGTTGTATAGAAAAATGCATCTGTTCTGCGTGACTTCCCCCTGCCCTCCGAAGGGAAGGGGAGTGGGAAATCTGATTTCACTTTTCAACACATGAAGGTCAAATTCTCCCCTTGACCTGTGCTTCACGACATGCAAATGGAAATGTCCTAACCAAATTAGACCATGCTTAAGCTGCCCGCGATACTTCGTAGGGTAAGGAAAGCCATCAGGAGTTTCGATAGAGATTCAGTGACTTCCTCTGACAGCAGAGCATCAAACCTTTCTGCATCCCTGCTTAGGTCAGTGAGTACAAGTAATCATGTACTGAACCATTTATTAAGTAAGTTACAATTGGTCATACTTATTAATGCCAGTGCAGAATCCCTGTTAATCACCATGTGAGAAAATGGACTCGGGGACCTCGAGCATGACCTCCAGCAGCTTGTCAGCCTTTTCTTGGTGCTGGCCAGGTCCAAACTTCAGAGAGCTGTTGGGAACGTGCCATTTGTGAACAAAACTGCAGGAGGAGAAGATTGCAGCGAGCTGTGCTGGCGTTTGGCTGCGATGCAGGGTTTAAAGCAGCTGTTCCTTGCAAAGCGTGCAGGGTGGACCTGTGCTATCTGTAATGTAGCATTTAGTTATGAGTGGCTTTGAAGATAAACATTTAACTGATACAGGTAAATGGTACATTAAAAACATATTTCTTGTTTTTCTTTCAAGACTGATCAGATCAAAACCTTAAGCATGAGGTCTGTGTGGAAAGCTGGGGGTAACCTCTGAGAATAGTGAAGGGGTGGGAGAGATTGTATCTTTCTGTCTAATGTTTCTGCTTCAAAGCAGGGTCAAGACTGGTCTACTCTTGGTGTACCTATCCCACTTGACAACTCAAAAAACCTGTTTGTGAAGGACCAAAGCAGGCTTTTGGCTTTAGCTCCTCTTTATTCTACCCAGCCACAGAGTATCAGTGTAGTGTTGTCAGTGTGTTGAGGTACAACAGTCAGAGGCAGTGGGTGGAAAGCTGTGAGATTACAACTGTAAACTACAGCAGAGAAGCCTTTTGGGGACTGTTCAGTAATGGGATGTAGCAGTGACCCACCAGAAAATAGAAGTAGTTATTAGCTGGAGTCTGTTAGGTAAAAAGCACATGCCTGGGCAGAAGGTGCATGCAAGTGTAGCACAGTAAAACAGTATTTTTAGACTTTAAGGATACCTGTATGGACTTGAAGAGAATTTAAGGTATGTTCAACAAAGACCTTCTTTACTAAAAATTAATGCAATATAGGAAAGTACTTCTAAAATACGCCTCCAGCATTTTGGAGGGAGAAGCTGACCTGGTGAAGTCTTGAGAGCTGTTAAGTAAATTTTTCTTGTCAGCTTTCTAGTGGGTTCAATGATCATTTTGTGTACAGCATAGCCTTGTCTTCCTTTCAGTGGGGGAGGGAAAACATAATGCAGCAGAACAAGCTGAGTGCTTCGAGTTCCTAATATGAAAGTTGGAAGTGGAGGTCCCAAGTCCTGGTTTTCTATGTGCTGTCCTCCTATAATATGGGTTTCAAATCTGCAGCACAGCAAGTGTGATCCCAGCATGAGTGGAGTGTTACAGGGCTGAAATAGCATTCATCTTCCAGCTTCTTTAGCCTCTAATGAAATTAGCTGCTTGATAATTTGCCCAGATTTACACTTTTGTACAATAGATATTAATGTTCCTTCTGGTGAGTCTGATGGAAGTAAAGGTCTTTGCATTGAAGTAAGAGACCTGCATGTCCAATATAAAATTTCTTGCTGATGTGGGAAGATTAAGGCCACATCATACCGAGATGGCTCATGGCAGCAGTCAGTGGTGCAGCATGCACAGCACTCGCTGGGCTTTGCTCATGGGCTTTGCAGAGGCCAATGTGCGGTGTTGCTGCCAGGGAATGTTTTTGTGAGGTTCTGAATTCCTCCTTTTAGGATAAATGGGAAGACGGCTGGGTGGGTTTGGGCTCACCTTGGCTATTCATGCCTCGTTCCACATGGCTCAGCTCATACACATCTCACCTCGCTCCAGGCACCTACTGGTAGTGTGTAAATTAAACCTGTTCTCATCCCACCTGTAGTTAAGGACGAATCAGGCCCTTCTGGGGGTAGTTCAGGTGTGAAACAGGCTGGCTTTGGCCATGTGAAGTTTCCTGACCCTCCTCGGGGAGAGGTGGATGGTGGGGCTTCCAGCTTGAGTGGTCATGCTTGGGTGGGATGGGCTAGATATTAAGGGCAGATTTTCCATGTTTCAGTGTTTTTTGGAGCAACTTTTCACTTCAGTTAAAAAATAATCAATTCTGTAATGCTGTGTTTAAAAAGTCAAAAATCAAAGCAACGTTTAATTGACACCAAATTAATTATTGGAGGAAATTTTTCCTTCCTGAAGGCTTGCCAAATGCTCTATTTTTGTTGTCATTCAGAAGGAAGGCCAGATTTTGAAATCTCAGATTTCCTGAATGAAAGCTTTATCCCCTGCCCCCTCCAATCATTAACTGTTTGGGGTCCAGTGTCGGGGATCCAGTGATCAGCCTGTGATGCCCTTGTATTCCCTGAAATGGCTTCTCAGCACCGTCAGGGCAGAAGTAGATGGAGCCGAGCCTTTCCCCATGCAGCTTGCAATGAAGTCAGTGGTGGGCCTGCAATTTGTTGCTGAAGAAAAAGATGTGAGGAAAGCTGGCTGACTTTAGCCTTTTTTTTTTTTTTAATGTCATTTAAAATCTTATCCAAAAAAGGCATAGAAGTTATCTGCATGTTTTAGTTTTGCTCCTGGTGCTTTAAGGCACTTAATAAGAGAGAAATACCAATTGCGGGACCCTTAGCAGAGGACTGGAAAGTCACCCAGGACCCCCACAGGGTTGGAATGCCTCCCACAGGCCCCCTTTCTCTGTATGGTCAGAGAAAAGCCTGTTCAGATGCCTCCTGTCTTATTCTTCCTTATTGCTTTCCCCTTCTCCTGTTTTCAAGCTGTCCAGCACAGATCTGTATTTATTATTTGGCTTCTTTACACATTCTGAATCTCACGATCTCCATCTTTGCAAATAAAAGGGACTGGGCACGGCCCAGCCCACATCCACATGGCTGAGGTTTCTTGCCCCTTAGAGAAGGGCAATAGCATCCAAGCTGGCAGCTATACACAGTCCTTGATGTAGGCTGTCCTCAAGCAAGGCCAAGGCATTGGGTGGGAGAGGAGTAGCTGGTGCAACCTAAAATCTTCCTGGGGAACGTGCTAGTAGTTCAGCAGACTGGATGGTTATGAGGCAGTGCTCAGGTCCGCAAGCTCTGCTAGCGCAGATGCAGCCCAAGCTGCCATTCGTTTCTGCTGCTGGTGCTCATATAAGGCTGGGCATGGAGGGGCTGAGCCTTGGCAGTAGAAACTCCCTGCCCGCTGTGTCTCAGCACTGTGTTGTAATGGCCCCACTCGCTGCTGCTTCACATAATTTTTGCTTTTCTAGGGACGTGGCAGCTTACCTCTGGCGCATGGTCCAGGGCCTGTGAGCTGTCTTCCTGGAGCAGCTCTTGTTCTTGTCTTTCTTCCAGACAAAGAGCACTTGAAGGAGAAGGAGAAGTTGGAGATGGAGCTGGCAGCTGTGCGCTCTGCCAATGAGGACCAGCGGAGGCACATTGAAATCCTCGACCAGGCCCTAAACAACGCGCAAGCCAAGGTCATCAAACTGGAAGAGGAGGTGAGGAATGGGCAACATTTCTCTGCTCTGAGGCTAGTGGTGGCTCATGGTTAAGGCTTTCTCCATCCAAGTTCTGAATCTCTTCTAGGCATGGTGTGGCAGGTCTTCATGCTCCCTTTGCACTGGCTCTCTTATAGAGAAAATGCATAGTTATACAATACTGAGCCAAACAAGCAAGCAAAGGAGACCACAACCATACATGTTTTCAGAGCAGACTTCAACATGTAACCTGGAGCAACACCAAACTAGCCAGCTGGTGGCTGAGGTACTGGTAGAATTTAACAGAAATATCAAATAAAAAGCTGACTACTCACTGACTTGGGACTGCGATACAAACATGTGATGTTGGTGCATCCCGTTTCTCCCCAAAGAATGCCAGGAGGCTTTTCAGATGTGCGCAGCAGCACAGCCATGCAGGGCTTGGTAACTTCACAGCTGAACAGTGGTCTTAAAAGAACTGACTGGTCTGGCTGGAGGCAGACCTCCCAGGATTTAGAGCTACAAAGAGCTACAGGTTTTATGTGAGAGCTGGGAAAAACCTATCATACCATGAGACCCAAGAACTGCCATCTGTGCAAAACCCCTAAGAGGTCTTTAAGGCTCCTATAAGCCTGATAGTGAAAACACATATTCAGATGGGCAGAGAAATCCCAGGAACAGAGGGCTCTTCAAACTGACAGACAAACACAGAACAACATCTAGTAGCTGGAAGCTGGAGTTACACAAATTCAAAGTGGCAATAACGCTCAGTTTTAACTGGAACCAAGAGAGATGTCAGTTCTCCATTGTTAGAGGTCTCTGAATCTCAACCTTCAACCAAAAGGTGTGGATATAATAATAAATAACTGAAAGCCTGTGCACTCTAGCAGGTCAGGCAAGACTGTCAAAACAAGCCTTTTTGGCTCTAAAATCTCTAGGCCTGTGACCAACAGAGAGGGAGGATGTTTTATGGGCAATAAAATAAACATAATCTTTACTATCTGAGCAGGCAGGCTGTTGGTGAGGGGAAGGGTGCTCACCTAGCAGGCTTGGGTAGCGGTTCGTGCTCCAGCACAGGCTGCTGGCATGGTCTCGAGCAAGTCTTTTCCCTTTCAGTGCCTCATTTCCCACCTGCACCCTCCCCAGGGATGGCCTGGGGGTGAATCCACAGGATTCCGCTGGGTGCACAGATGCAAAGGGTTTTGTGAGGAGCAGAGAAGGTCTTTTCTCAAATACCTGCAAGTAGCTTAAGTGCAGTTCCTTGTCTTGGAAAGACGAAGGGTGAATTGACCTCAGTGATATTTGAATGTTTTTTATCAGGGTATCCAGCATGACAGACCCCCTGTTAGGCTAACTCATGATTACCTAGCGTCTGGAAGGTTTGAGGTTCTATATGTAAGTGCTGAAGGCATTGCTGCCTTGTTCCTGACCATTAGACCATTCTGACTTCCTATTTAGAAATATTTTAAAAACTTCATTGCCCCTGGTGGATACACTTAGCAGCAAGAAGAGGCTCACATTAAGTTTAACTGCTCCTTTGTTAGTTAGACTAAAGGCTGCTCACCATCCCAGTGTATTTGGGGCGGTCCCTTTGGGGTAGCTGCAGGAGCTAGTGTACCTTTAATCTGTACATAATTCACTTGACACTGTTTGCCTTAAAGGCAACCAGAGGTTTTCTATTTGCATTTCATTACAAAGTGGCTGAATAAAGGAATGGTTTAGGTGGCAACACCTGCTCCTACAGTCGTGGCATCACGCAGGGGGTGGGAAGAAATATATTTAGCTCCTGGCTTTTCCACAGACTGTCAGTGTGGTATTGGCAGGTAACATTGACTTGCTGAATACAGGCTGATGAAGGCAGCAGAAGCATAAAAACAGATTTCCAGGCAGGTGGTGTAAGAAGCTACCCTGTGCCTGCTGGGTTGCAGTAAATATGTGTGCAGCCTTAGGGCTCTGTCTCTTAAGAGCTTTGCAGCTGCCAGTTTCTAGTCTAGTCATCAAACCTCTGCTGGCGATCAGAGCTAGGATCCTGGATTGTGGACTGGTGGAGGTGAGGAGAGGACGAATATTCCCCTCTAGAGAGCTGCTAACCTCCTGCCCAGGGCATAGTAGATGGTACAGAGGTGGTAACCTCCTGCCTGGGGCATGGTAGATGTTATGGAGGTGATAACTGTTGTGGTTTAACCCAGCAGGCAGCTGAACACCACACAGCCGCTTGCTCACCCCCTCCTTCCTTCAGTGGGGTAGGGGAGAGAATCGGAAAAAAAAAAGTAAAAACCCATGGGTTGAGATAAAGCAGCAGAGGAGAAGAATAACAATAATAATAATAATGGTAAGAGAGCGTACAGAATATACAAAACAAGTGATTCTCAATGCAATTACTTACCACCAGCTGACCAATGCCCAGCCCGTCCTGACCAGTGATCGCTGTCCTGGCCAAATTCTCCCCAAGCATGATGTCATATGGTCCGGGATACCCCCTTGGTCAGTTGGGGTCAGCTGTCCTGGCTGTGCCCCCTCCCAGCTTCTTGTGCCCCTGGCAGAGCGGGGTAAGCTGAAAAAGCCCTTGACTGGTGTAAACCCTGCTCAGCATCAACTAAACCATCAGTGAGTTATCAACATTCTTCTAGTACTAAATCCAAAACACAGCACTGTGTGTACTAGGAAGAAAATTAACTCTGTCCCAGCTGAAACCAGGACAATAACCTCTTGCATAGGGCATGGTACATCTCAGAGGTAACAACATACAAAGGTGATGCAACGGTATTTGCCAAAATTTGTCTGTCAGAACCCTCAGCCTGAGCCAAACCCACGTTGACCTGATAGTGTTTAACTGCTTTTTTCATTCTAGGGGGAGTTTGGGTGATTTTTGTTCCAGCTGCTGTGTTACAATTGTTCAAGGCAGTGTCATGCAGCTCGGGCAAACTGCAGTTCGTCTGTGGCTGCCTGCACACGCCCAAGCCCCTGTGCTCCCTTTCCCTTGCTTTTGGCCTCTTTCATCACTAAATCAGAGCACCTTTTCAACAGTCTCCAGTGTTTCTGGAGCTCAGTTTGACACATATGCAGCAGATATTGTTGAAGTTTTGAACCTTCATCTTAAACCAGGGATTTTTACTATGATTTGGATTATATTGAAGGAAACACAAAATCACTCAAACGAAAATGACTGTTATTATTAACAGAGCTCTACCTCATGCACTTCTTTGTAAATCCGCACAGATTTCTCCTACCACCAGAATGTAATTAAGTTTAAACGCTTTTTAAATCAAGGCTTGAGAAATAAGCAGTAGCTACTAAGTTGAATTAGCATAAGATAGCGTACTGTGTAAATCTACATTATCCTGAGTGCCTGCGAGTAGAAGGATTTAATTCAAAAGGTGATATTATCACCACATGTCATTTAGGAGTCTGCTGCTGGAGTCGTGTGTCTGGTCCGCGCTTTGGATAGAAGACTGAATAATTGGAGAGGGTTCAGAAAACAGCTGTAGAATTTATTTGGGACCCAGAAGCTGTTCTTTGCTGTGAACAATTAAAGTGAGGAAGTGGCTGAGCTGCAGTCCATGCACGTGAAGAAGGGATTGCTGTCAGCCAGGTTAAATTTTCTCTTTAATGTAAGAAAAAATAATGAGATGTAGTGTTTGGGGGCTGAAGCTGAGCAAGTCGGGCCGGAAATAAAGAGTAAGTAACACTGAAACAACCTACTTAGGGTGATAGTGGATTCTCCACCTCTTGCAGTCTTTAACTCAAATCTCATATCTATCAAATAGATATTCTGTAGCTCAAACTGGAATTACGTTCCTAGTGGAGATATTTTTCCAAGACCCACTTGTCTTTACTCAGATTTATTTGCTTGGATCATCCCCTTTTAGCCTTAGCTCTTCTTCATCTTTATTTTCCTAATCCTTGGGACAAGGGCAGTGTTCAGGCAAGTTTGCTGATCTCCTGAATATGTGAATTGTTTCATTAAATGCTTCTTGCTCTACTAGATCATAATTTGGAAACAGAACAAGAAGTAATTTGCTTAAATTGCGTAAGAGAAAGCCAGATTAGGCATTATGCTAAAAGGTTTCTGGCAGTGTAGGAAAATAAGCTGTGAGGTAGTTTGCAGGGGGAGGTTGTGGCATCCTTACCCCTGGAGGGTTTTGTAAACAGATTACACAGATATGAGCCAGGTTTTAGGTAGAGCTGATCCTTCCTTGTGGCAGGAGGATGGACTAGTACCTCTCCAGGTGTCATCCAGCTTTTGTTTATTTGAGTCTATGTGTCTATGAGGCAGTGGAGCTTAGGATCATGTATTTCTGATTGCTGTCCCCCTCCCTTACAGATACATACTGCACAGACAAGACCATTAAGTTAAATGACAACATTTTGTACTTTGTTTTTTAAATGTGTGGATGAATTTTCTGCTTATGAGTCTACAAGCAGGACAGAAAAGTCAGAAATGGCTCAAGAACGTCCCTATAGATTTATGGATGTGGGAACTGTCTTGTTGTGTATCTCCGACAAAATTGTTTTCTAAGGTGGTGGACGCATGTGCATCGCCTCTCCCACATGGCAGAGGTGCACTTACGTGTGTGTGTGTGAACCCTGGGGCTTAGAGGGCTGCTGCAAAGCCAAATTCTGGCCGCTGTGTTATGAATGGACCTTCCAGTATCCAACAGGATGCAGGGGAGCAGATGAGGTCTGCAGCCGAGGAGGGGTCCTGGGGGAGCCCCCTTCCCCTCTCTGATCCAGGCAGGTGCATCTGGAAGGTGGCACATGCACCTTCCTGCAGCCAAAATAGCACATTCAGCAAGAAGCCACCGTTGTGTCTGCCTTGCCAAGTCATGAGCTCCTGAGGAATGCAGTCTTTGTGCTACTGCCAGAGACTAGTGGGGATTATAATCTCATTAATTTTCATGGAAAGCCCCGGGAACCGTAAGCATTAGCCCAGATTACAGCAGGGCTAGGGAGGTCACGCTGCCAGTTGTTGTCTCTGGCTGGGGAGGTTTGTTTAGGCCAAGTTTTGCTTTTGCTGTGAACAAGCCTGTATTTCAGTTCACCTGTGACGTGGATGGATTTAGGGTGGCAGAAGAGGAATTTCAAGAAAAAGAGATTTTATTATCATTGTAATTAGTTGGAGGGGACCTAGGTGAATCCAGCATCACGCAAGTAGAAAAAAAAAATAAAAAAATCTTTGCAACATGGGAGTCCTGGGCTAAGCAGAGGACTCTGGGTGAAGGGGAGCCCCACAGAGCCAGGGGACCCAGCACTGGTCTTTATTTGCTCCAGATATGCCCAGAAACAAGGCAGCAAACTTCTTGCTACATCCCCTAGATATTTAGACATGGGTATTTTGTGGCCATACCTCCTATATTGTCACCCATGTTGCAGTTAATTTCAATAGTGATTTAAGTACTTAAAAAAGAGGTAGGCGCTAAGATATCGTTTTGGCCCTGGCCTTGCCAGCTCACAGCACCTCTCCAGCCTCTCTCATTTATCTAGTTCCCCAGCGTCAACTGGAGTTAATGTGTTTTTCTGCCTCCTCTTTTGCTTCTGAAAAATTTCAGGTCTCAAACAACTGTACAAATAAATGAGGGAGCCTAGAAGTCCTAAAGAGGATCTTTGTGATCATAGCGATGACTTTGAGCATTCTCCGTTAACTCTCAGGCTGCAGCTGGGTCCAACTGAGGCTTGGCAAACTCTGCATGATCCAGCACTCAAACTGGTCCACCCTCCCTTTCTAAGTCAGGGAGCTGTTAAGAGTGTTTTGGGGTCTTTTGAGGTTTGTTGAGGTCTTTGGGGGTTTGCAGCTTCAGTTTGTGTGCACTGTTGCTTTTTCCACTACAAGGCAGATATCTTTAGAAAGGTAAATTTATTCATGCTCATGAAGAGAAAATTCATGACAAAAGGTCAGGGGAGAAGAGGGGGATTGGGTTTTCTGTGGTTGGGGCTGGGGCCTTTCCAGTCAGTGTCCATGCTCCCTGGGGACAACAACTGCTCATGGACACCCAGGTGTGCCTGGCCCCAGTGAGCTCGCCCCTTCTCGGAGCAAGATTTTGGCTAGGTATCAGTTTTCAGCACAGGCTTTGATGCCCATACCACTGCCTGGTGCAGCTGATGCCCAGCATGTCCGGTGTCTGCAGCCTCCTTTCCCCACTGGTTCTCAAGCATGCCAGCTCCTGCCATGACCCTGATGGCAATACCCTGTGGTGTCACTGAGTGCCTAGTGGCATGGTAGGAGGCCAGAAGAAGTGGAAGTAGCCACTAAGCACCTTGAACATCTGCAGTCCACTTGCAAATTCCTTTTGGGGTATGCTGCTTGGGCAATCTCTGGCCCTAAAACCCTGTATTGCAAAATCCTTATGTCATGCTTAGCCCTTCAGTAATTGCATTGTATATGTAAGGAGGGCCTGCCTTTAGCTGCCAGCACATTTCTACATCAGCATGGCCAAGCCTGTGAGCAGGATAGAGCAGGTTGAGTGCTTCTCACTGCTGGCACTCCTCTTGTTCCACCTGCATTGGACAGATACACAGAGTTGAAAAAAAGAGGCTGTTTGGGTGCAGACAATGTACTAAGTGTCACCAGTTGATAAAACCCACTGGGATTCCTCTTAACTGAGGCCAGCCTGTGTGCTTGCCCAAAGAGTATCCACCAACGTGACAGCTCTTGCTCAGAAATGGCCGAGGGGGGTTCATGGGTACCAGGTGGGTGGAAGATCTGGGCAGTGTTCCCTCCAAAAGGGGTAGGGCTGCCCCAGCGATGCCAACTGTGTCCTTTTCCTGCCCATCAAAGGGGCACCATCCTTCCCCTGGAGAAACTCTGCAAAGCAAAGGGCCAAAGCCATGCTTGCGCCCAACACAGACCTACAAGTGCACAGGGGTCTCGGTGCCCCCCGGCGCTGCTGACCCCCTGTCCCCCACAGCTGCGCAGGAAGCAGGCCTACGTGGAGAAGGTGGAGAAGCTGCAGCAGGCGCTGACGCAGCTGCAGGCAGCCTGCGAGAAGAGGGAGCAGATGGAGCGGCGGCTGCGCACGCGCCTGGAGCGGGAGCTGGACTCGCTGCGGATGCAGCAGGTGAGGACGGAGCGGTCTGTGCGAGACCCCAGCTTTTGAACAAGGCGTTGCTTTTAAAGGCCTTGCAGCCCTGCCAGGCCCCACCTTACTTTTGGGTTCAGGTCGTTGGGCTTTCCACCTAAGCCTTTCCTTGGGATGGGGTTGTGGATGCCCAATCACTGCAAGTGTTCAAGGTCAGGTTGGACGGGGCTTTGAGCCACCTGATCTAGTGGAAGATGTCCCTGCCCATGGCAGGGGGGTTGCACTTAGATGATCTTTGAAGGTCCCTTCCAACCCGAACCACTCTGTGATTCTAACTCCTGGTTTTCAGCGGAGGATGGGGGAGCTCCACAGTGGGGCTGCAGGACACAGCTGAGCCCTGCCTGCTGTGGGGTGGGAGGTCCTGGCTCCCCTGCTGAAGGGCAGGCAGGGCTCTGCCCCTGTGTGTCCTCCCACACCTGCCAGGGGACAATATCCTTCCAGGTTTCTCTCTAGCAATCACAGACTGTGCAAGATTAGCTCCCCACTGAAAGAGGAGAGGAAAGGTGCAGTACATGTGGGCGTGAGATTTAGCCCACAGATTTTGGCCAATTATTTTATTGAAAAAGCAAGGTGGGATGATGTGGGATTTGGGGGCGGAGCAAGGGCTTGGGCAATACTCATTCTGGACAAAGATAATGTATGCAGCTCACAGAAACCTCTGTCCCTAACAGATTTGGAGACAAATCATAGAATCATTGAATATCTCTAGTTGGAAGGGACCCATAAGGATCATTGAGTCCAATGGTGTCATTGTCTTCAGGCAATAAATGATTTAAAATCAGTCCAGTCCAGACTGGCTAGAAGTGTAGTTTTGTGTTTCTGTCCCCTTGGTTTTTTTGGCAGCCCTGTGTCATCAGAGGCATAGTCTTATGCTTGTATTTTATGCACAGTTATTCCTTTGGGTAGGTGACCTGGTCTCTCACGTTCTCCTCCATCTCCAAGTGCCAAAGTCCAGTCATCTGTGAAAAGGAGGGAAAGAAGCATGGGGAGGTTGCAGGGAGGATTTCCAGGTTACAGCCAGCACCGAGTGCCGAATACATGGGCACTGGCCAGCAGATGTGCTACATATATCACACCACCACTTGGGGAAAAACCAGCAACATAAGCAAAGGATGATGCTCTTGTAACTCTTGAAGGGCTCACTCCTATCTCTGTCAAGAAATGTGTCTGGTATGATAACCCTTCCTTATTTATGAGCCATTAGTGGGGACCAAACCAGTTGTTACACAGAGCTTGTGCTGCCAGAATGCAGAGGGTCTGATCCTGCCGGAAGGGTGCAGCTGGGAAATAGCTCTATGGGCGATATCTGCGGTTTGCAGAGTCACGAGGAGGCCAGACCTGCGAGCATCTCATTCTCGCTGGCAGCCCCAGGGCAGGGCAGGTCCCCCAGCACCCTTCCAGCAACATCACTGTCACTGCTGCTCCCTGGAGACCCTTCCCATCCCTCTTGGCTCTTCCTTGCTGTTGTGTAAGTACGTGAAGTCTTTCTTGCCCTGTCCACCATGGGCTTGCTGATCTTGTCTTCTTCCAGTAGCTCTTCTCAATTGCCCCTTAGCCTGCTCTCCTCCAATTTAAAAATGAAATTGCATGGCGTATGCCATGCTAATGCTGGTGTGAATGAAAACATTTGAGAGAATACAATTAAAATCCAAGTGAAGGTAAAACTAGAACTAGGAAAGGTTTTGTTCTCCGGGCTGGAATATAGGGACAAATTGATATATTAAGTAACTGTGATGGACTGTCGACAAAGTCCTTGTCTTGGGAGTTCAGACTACACCTTCATTTTGGCAGAAAATTCCTCTGCGACTTACAGATTGCTTCAGTTTTAATTTTTTTTTTTTTTTGGCACAGTAATCAGCAACTGTATTTTGGATTGCCATAGTTCTCAAATGCCTACACCAGTTCCCTCTAACAAGTTTTAAGAAGAAAGATGTCCCGACTTCACATCTCACCTATCAGCTTTGAGAGGAGACTTTGGGGGTTTTTTACTATTTATACTTTTTTGTTTCATGAGCCACAACCCTGCAATGAATCATGTTGCTTCGGGGTGCCCCAACTTTTTACTTCAGAGTGGTCTTCTCTGAGTTATCAAAGTTACATCTACTGAAATATTTTCTCATCACAGTGAAAAAAGAGCTTTTTTTTTTTTTTTTCTCCTTTTTACTGGAGTCAGCAGAACAGATGCAGCACACAAGGAGAAAGTGAGCCAGAGTATCCTCTGTTCCTGGCTTGTTGGTAATCGAGTCCAAATGGCAAATCTTCATGATCACTAATGCATGAGCTAGGACCAAAAAGAAATCCTTTGACTTAGCATTGCAGACCGAGCGTGCAGGGCTGGCAGAGGTTCTGCCTGAGAATGAAGGTGATAGGCACTCGCAATGTCCCAAGGTGCCATTTACAGACCAGGGCCATGCTTCCAAAATATTACCGTCCTGCCAGGGATTTGACAATATTTGAAATGTTAGTGCTGGTTTTTGCAGAAGACTTGCAGCCATTTCTCCTAAGGGTTACTCTGTATTGCACTCTTCCAGAAAGCAGCTTCCAAATGTGTTACTGCACCAACAGCAAAGGCCGCAGCCGTCCCCTGGTATCTCTAGTTTCCCGTAAGCCAGAGATAAGCATCTAGAAGAATTGTGGTTTGGAAAATGGAACTGGTTGCTGCAGCCTTGCTCTGGTGTGCTGGTACTGCACCAGGGAGCTGTTTTTCTGGTGGAAGCTCGTGGTGTAGCAACGGATGAGGAGCCAGTGCTCCCGAGACATGGTTTCCCTTTTAAGACAGTCCTGTGCACCATGGAGTGTAACAAATCTCTTGCATTTTTTATTGAAAAAAAATGTTTGCTTCTACTGACTTCTCCCGGAGCTTCATGCCTTTCCCCCTAGCATGGGCTTATTCAACCCAGCCTCCCCTGAGCCAAGGGCTGGATCTCCATCCTTCTCCGCTCTTGGCCAGCAGTGAGAGGAGCTCGGGAAGGCTACCTGTGCCGCTTAGGTGCTTTAATTAAGTGCCTGTAGCTGAGCGGGATAAATCCTGCCTGGGTAAGTGCTTTCCTCACAGTGTAGATGCAAAGGGTTACACATCCATTGCCGCTTGTCTGTATCCCGTGGGAGCCACGCTGCAGTGCCTGGGGATCTTCTGCCCATCCAGTCCTTCGGAAAGTTACCTGCTGCACCACAGAAAGCATCTCCTGAGGGCACATGAGAACTAGCGTGCCAGAAGAGAGAGGGGTAAATCCATGTCCGGGGTATTTTCCCAGCTGCTGTTTTAGATAGGTTACATGTAGGTAGGTTACATGTCACACTTTTTTCTTTTATATATAAACCCTCTGTCCATATGGAGCACTGCCCAGCCATATGATGAAGTCTCAGCAAGAAGAGTATCTTTTAAAGCTTTATTGCTTCTTTTCTAACCAGCCTTTTTTCCAACCTTTTCCCTTGGCTTGGGGTATCCCACGAAATCCCTGCACATCAGGGAGCAGCTGGATCCCTACTTCTGTCAGCGTGGTCCAGAGAAGGGTGTGCTGGGCTTGCACACATGGTCGACCTGCCTGTCCTCCTGTAACATAAGGGGTTTAGCCTGGGGTTTCCCCTTGCCCCTGCCAAAAAAACATGGGGATGTCTTTGTGAGCTCCAGAAGAGACATGGGGGAAAAAAGGGCTCTTGACAGGAGGTGAATATCTCCTTGTTTCCACCGGCAGAGGCAGGGCAGCTACCAGGCAAGCAGCCTCCCAGAGCACAATGCCCCAGCCCTGATGGAGCTGGTGCGGGAGAAGGAGGAGAGGATCCTGGCCCTGGAAGCCGACATGACCAAGTGGGAGCAGAAGTACCTGGAGGAGAGTACGATCAGACACTTTGCCATGAATGCCGCAGCCACAGCTGCAACGGAGAGGTAAGATGTTGCTGCAAGAAGGCAGCTCTGTGCCCAGCGGAAAGCACGAGGGAATAATAACGAATGGATATTTTCTTACGGCTGGATTTTGCCTGCTTTTCCCTGCTGAGTTGCGCCGCCAGGGTTAATGTACCTCTCTGCAGTGTCATGCCAGTGAGATACAGTAGCTGTTTCAGACAGGATTTACCTTTCTGACCAGGTCCAAAAGTTTGTCAAATCCGGGCACCAGGCTCAAGCCACCGACCTCAACAGCAAAGTCTCAGGCTGCCAAATTGCACAGCATAGATAAGGCAACTCCTCCCCACTGCACCGATGGAGCAGGGAGGGACTGCTGGTGTACAGCTGCCTCCATCCCACGGTCTGCAACGTGGTTGTTTAACCTAGTTTTCAAACCTGTAACGAGGGCAATTTTGCGGCCTAAGTCCCCTGTTTCACTGCTTCATTAAGCTTCAAAATAGAAAGGTTCTCCTGATAGCTAAGCTAAACCTCTTTACTGCAAATTACCTTAATTGATTCTTGTCCTTCCCAGGCGTACTGATGAACAACAGATCACTGTCGACCTCCTAACAGCCTTGTAAATACTGGAAAACAGATATCCCTTGTCGTATCTTCCCTGGCCTGAACTACCTTATTTCCTTCAGCCATTCCACACATGTCCTAGTGTAAACCCTTTCTCATTCCCATTGCATTTGCCTGGACTGTCTCCAGTTTGTTTGTGTGAAAGCATGGTGCCCAAAAGCACACAAGGCAGTGCAGTGAGGCTTTCCAGCGATGAGGAGGATGGGATAATTAACTTCTCGACCCAGTTTCTTAGAAGCCAAATCCCCTGAAAACATCCTAAAATGAGATTTCTCTTTGAAATGCAGTTGAGTGCATGACTCAGGATGATCCTTTTCTTTTGCACTCCAGTCTAGGCAGCAATTGCTGTGCTATTTTTCATCCTCCAGAGCGTGCAATTTTGTTTCTCATTTGTGATGTAGTCTTGTTGACTTGGGACCATTTTCCCAGTGAGTGAGTCCTTCTAATGTCTGACCTTGTCCTCCAGGATGGTTGTTAGCCCCATGGGGTTTGCCCACAATTTTAGCGTGCTCTCTGTTCCATCAGCCCAGTTATTTAATGGTGTTAACAACTAAACCTGCGCCAAGAGTAGACTGCAGCAAGGCAGCCCAACACCAGGTAGCTCTCTGCTTGACAGGCAACCATCAGCAGCTTTCTCTGTGAATGTGGGTTTGGGGTTTTCTTTGCAAGGACCAATCTCACTGCTGCCCTCACAGTCTCAGGAACCTGACTCACTGTGTTGAACTACTTTGCCAGGGATGCCTCGGCCCCGAGCCACTCGCGCAACGGCAGCTACGGCGAGAGCGCACTGGAGATGCGGGGTTGGCAGGAGGAGGAGGAGATCGTGCAAGCCAACCGGCGCTGCCAGGACATGGAGTACACGTAAGGGACCATCGTGCCATACCCACTTGTGGGGTTTGGGCTGCATTCAGATAAACCAGGACACCCTTCTGTTCCTTCATGCATGCCTGGAAAGGATGGGCTTAGCTTCATTTTGGCTTAGTTTTGCTCTTCAGCATTAGAACAGGCATTAAAGAGTTGCTGTCATTAGATAACTTCCTCCCTACCTTCGTGTTAAACTGTGTCTGTGTCAAAACCGACCTTCTTACAGAACAGAGGCTGTTCCGCTATTAAAAGTAGGTTGGCATGTGAGGAAGCTGAACACTTGTTTAATCTCGGTGAAAATCCCCCTCTGGAAACAAGAGCGTCTGGTCATAAAAGCCGAAGTTGTAATCCCACTCCTACATAATCAGCAGCGCGAGGGCTTGCCTTTGCCTCGCTCTTCGCTCCTTGCCTGCTTATTGCTCTTTCTAGATACACTGAGTTTCCCACATTCAAGTTCTGTGACTGTCACACTGGCATGTAGAAACAAACCTGCAAAATTTAGTACCACAGGCACCACTAAAAAAGATGCATTTATAAGTAGTAGAAGATATAAAACAAACTTTATGGGGCACAGGTAGTCAGCAAGAGTATCGTTCATTGTTGCAGAGAATTCTCCGTTTTCCGCACACAAGTGGACATGTGGCTATGTGGTTCAATGAGTGTTAGACCTGGGCAGTATTTTTAATCCAGACTTCTTTCCTGGTGAAAAGTGGCCTTTTGATGAGTAAAAATCCCTTGAGAAAGTTTGTGTATTCCTCTAGGATTTTACTGAAAAACTACTTAAAATCTGTTCTTCACTGTTGGCTTCCCCACAAAAACACCAGTCAGACACTTTTATAAAAAGGTGCATTTGTTGCTTGTGGGAAATACCAATGATTATTTTCAGTGGGTTTGGTTTTTGCTTTTCACTCACAGATGCGAGCTAATCCTTCTTCCAGTGAAGTAATGGGGTTTTGCCATTGGCTTCATTAAAGATAGATTAGGATCTCGTGTTTTCATTGCAAATTAGACATCTGATTATGAAGACTAATGCCACCATGAAGTTACTAGCCATCTCCCTTGTACGTATAGGTTTTCCAGATGCAGCATTTTAGCTTTCACTGCTTCACAAAACGCAGCTGCATTGGACTGTATGTTGTACATCACAGTCAAGCTACAGTCATCTGGCTTTCATATTGTACATGTACAATTATTTTTTTTTTTAAGTATGGTTTTGTAGTCTTTTGCTATGATTTGGTGTTAATCATTCCTGGAGAAAAGTCTCGGATAATCCTATTTTTTTGTGATTTGAGGGTCTTCGGGGTCTGTATGAGAGGAGTAACGAGCTTTGCTTGGCTCTGCACACTGTGTGCTGATCGTTTCTGCAGCAGTGAGGGAGAAGCAAGAGCCCAGCCCAGCTGTTAGGGAAACTGAAGGGAACCTTTCTGCTCGCTTTAGCAGGTCTTTACTCCAGCTGATGAGAGACCCAAATCGTGGGATTAACTCAGCCTGCCAAAGGAGGGTTTCCAGATTTGGCCCCCATGTATTACGGGGGTGGAAATTGCCTGTGTGTTTGTATTCTGGTGAAGGTAGCGATCTGCAGCTGGGTCAGGATACTGCCCTCATCACTCCTGCTGGGTTGGTAAAGCCACAGCAATAGATGGGTTCAGTTAACCTTGCAGAAAACAGTTGCCAGTTTTGGCTTAATAGCTAGAAATGCTGCCTGTTTCAAAGTGCATAGTTATTCTCAGAGGAACTGGTGAGAGCTGCCTTGTCCAAGTTGCTCAATACTGGAGGGGTCAGAGCAGCAGGGCTCATGCCCAGGGACCCATCCTGCTGCTCCAGGGTGGGGAGAGCTGCCCGTAAAAACGCTTTTTCCATTCCCGTAAGCAAGGCATTTATATTTTGGCAGAATAAAGAATCTCCATGCAAAAATAATTGAGAAGGATGCCATGATCAAGGTCCTTCAGCAACGGTCACGGAAGGATCCCGTGAAAGCCGACAGCGCCAGCCTGCGACCAGCCCGGTCTGTCCCCTCCATCGCTGCTGCTACGGGCGCGCATTCGCGCCAGACCTCGCTCACCAGCAACCAGATAGCTGAGGAGAAGAAGGAAGAGAAGATCTGGAAGGGAAGCATAGGTGAGCTCAGTTTTTGCTTAAGCTTTGGCTCATCCATCACTTTGTCCTAGTCATTCTGCTTGAGTTTAGCAAAAGTGACCCTGGCTGTGGCACACATTGCCCCGACGGCTTATTTCCAGAATGCTTTCCATGGGAAGAATGTGTGTCCTTGTGCTGAAGTAAATAATTAGTCAATTTTTATCTTTCCATTGTATCTTAATTTTATTTTTAATCATATAAAATCATTCTGCACTGATTATAGAAAGCCATAGTTGGGGGAAAGCCTACCAGAAACAAGCAGATGATGTTTGCAGCTTTGTGTGGGAGTAGATAACAAATTTGGGCTAGAAAAACTCCTCATTAAACAAGAGGATGAGCACCTACCTCCTTTGGGTAGGAGTGCGTGATGTGATGTGGCTGCTAAATGAGAAAGCGAGTGCAGGACTGTGTTTTGGGGCCGTGTGGGACAGGGGGTATGGAGGTGTGTGAGGCTGTGCCAGGGGTATTGCTGGGACAGGCATGCAGGAGGGGATGCAAGAAAGGGCAGCTGCTCTCAAAAGGCTGGTTTTGTAGGAAAATACCATGTGGTTGTCAGAAGAGCAACAGGCCACTGGTGTCAAGGGGAAAAACTAAGCCAAGCTGAAGGGCTGGTGACATATCCAGACCGGCGCCTTGTAGCTCTGGGGTGAGACAGGGGTACAGCACTTAGGTTCCAGCTGGGATGTGACTGACCAACACGTGTTTTCAGGGCTGCTCTTGGGGAAGGAACACCACGACCACCCATCAGGACCCATGCTGCCTCCTCCGCTGCCCTCTTTGTCCTGCATGCCCATCCCAGCACCGGTGGCCTCCCACACGAAGACGGGCAGCAAAGACAGCAGCACCCAGACGGACAAAAGTGCCGAGCTCTTCTGGCCTGCCGCCGCCTCCTTCCCCGGCCGTGGACGGCTGGGTACCACCCCTTTGCACAGCCCAGCCCCACGGCCCCTGGGGACACGAATGGCCGGCGAGAAACTGGGTGAGCTCTGCCAAATCCTCATGTCGGTGCAGAATGCCAGCACCCGCAGGGCTGTCAGTGGATCCCCATAGACACCCAATATTGATGGAGGGGTGTGATGCCTTCACAATTTGTAAGGTGGTGGGGAGGTTTCTTCAGAGAAACTGAAATTGTGGGGAGAGAACTTTCCAAGGCTGCCTGGTCTGGCTTTGCAGAGCTTCATGCTTGGCAGCTCTGTAAAGCTCTACTTGCCTGCAGCAGGCTAAGTTTCCAACAAATGCAATTATTCATGCTGCCAAAGATAAAATTACAGAGTTTCACACCTTGAAAACACTCCACACCTGCTTGCATACTCAGACTCTTCTCTTTTTTTTTTTCAACTTAAACCATGGTTAGTGAAGGCACCATTTTCTCCCTAATTTTTAAAGGAAAGCTGGGGGGAAATAGTAAGGAGAAAGTGGAGATTTGAGAGGGGAGAGGGTAAAGAAATACAATTTTAATTATTTTTGAAAGATGGAAACTGCTGGTTTGCCACAAGAAAGACACCTATTTTACACCCATGATTTTGAAAAAGCCAGTTTTCTACAAATTCATCTTGTCTCAAAAGCAAGCCTTCCCTCTAAAAACATGTCATGTATCATTAATAGGGCTGAATATCACTGTTCCCTTGAAACTCTGGATTACTGTGTTTTGGGCAAACCAGATTGGAATTGATTTCCAGGTACTCTTAAAATAGCCTGTCAAGCTATTCCTGCTTGTAAGAAATTAAGAGTCCTTCTACCTGAATTTGACTTTTGAGAGCTATGGTGATGACGATAAACACCTAACAGCATCTATCACACATTGTGATAATTGGCCGTATACGTTCTCTTAGCCCATCCCACTGGCAAAGTAATACATCTTAGATTAAACTACCTACCTGGTTATCTGTGTACTGCCCTCATGATGTTTTAAACTCCTAAATTTTGTACCTGATGCAGAATAGGAGCATACATGTGGAGAGCTATCATGGGTCAGGCGAAAAGTAGTAACTTGGCAAAGTGATGTAGAGCTTTCACAAATGCCTGTTTCTTTCTAGGGCCACAGCCCAAGAGGTAGTTTGGTCTGTATCTCTTAAATACCATCTTTACACCTTCCCTTGGGGTCTGTGCACACCAACACACCTACTGTCATTTTGCAGAGAGTTCAGCATGACGTGTTTTCAGGCTCCTGATTAAATTTGGCTTGCAGTGTGTAGGACGTACAGTTAAGATATGCTCCACCACCACACAGAAAAAAAAATGGTTTTATATTTGCTTTGAACAATTTGCTGTTGAATTTGAGCTGAAGACCAACTTTCCCTTCTTCTCTTGTAGAGAACTCAAGCCATGGGAAGCTGCCCGACAGCAAAGGCAGAGTGAGCAGCTTGCTCCACAAGCCTGAGTTTCCAGATACAGACATGATGGAAGTCCTCATCTGAGCAGAGGATGGTGTCTCTGGGGTTTTGTATGCGTACAGCCAGGTCCAAGGTGGTCCTTGGTGTGCCAACCTTAAAAACTTAACCTGGGAGTTTGAAGAAAGATAGAGAAAGTTTGTGCCCGAAACGAAGCTTGAGTCTGATACGTTGAGACTTTGGACCAGGCAAGAAGTCAAGAGCACTGAAGAGGAGTGACGAAACAAATGTCTGGGATTTTCTGAGCAGAAAGGGGCATTGAAAATGGAATGTGGCGTGAGAAGGGGATCGCTGAGGAAAAAAGAAACTGCATTTTCTGGTGTTAAAGAGGAGGTAGCGACTGGGTGCAAACTGCCGCTTGTTTTCCTGCCTCTCTGCAGCTGGGACAGGGAGTGAAATCCCAGCTCTTTTGAGGGCAGAAGGAATTTCTGAATAACCCAGGAGAAACTTGCTTCTTCCTCAGAATCAATTAATTTCACAAAAGTATTCAGTGCTTAATTTTGGTGAATAATTGGTCCGTAGATGTACACAGCAGGTTCTTGTAAGTATTTGTTTGAAGTGGTGTGGTGTGGTTTTCCTGGGCAGGCAGGTCAGGTGCCTCTTTCCTGGCTGGACAAGTGTTGCTCTTGGAGCTGGATTTACAGTGCAAATATTCATGTCTTGCAACCTCAGAGCTTGTTGAGACTTCTTTTTTTGGTAGGAGCAGTTGTTGGCTGGAATTCCCGTGGAGGATGAAAGCAGAGGGTGGGGGGAGGACCCTGTTGAAGGGATCCCTTTTGTAAGGATGGGAAGCTTTCAGGAGGGAAAGTCAGGGGAGGATCCCGGCAGCTCCGCGAAGGGCTGTGCAGTGCAGGGGTGTTGTGTTGGGTATGTTTCCAGTGGAGTTAAGCTGGGCTTGCATGTGAGATCAGAAGATGCCTCTAACTGTGCACTGGTTCATAGTAGTGGAAGAGTCAGTGTGTTTGTGGTAAGAGCAGGATTTTTCCTGATTTGCAGTGCCTACAGCCAAATCCTACCTTCCTTGAGCATACAAACCTGCCATTCAAGCTAGCACGGGACTGGGCATTAAGGTGTGTAGGATCAGGCTGGGAAGGGTTTAACGGCAAAGCAAAGCATGAGCATCATCTGTTTTCTGTGCTGAGCTGCAGTTTCTTTTCACCTTGTTTTACCCAGGATGGAACACTTCTCATTTGCAGTTTAGTACCTGATTTCTGTAAGAGGTGGCGACTGTCTTTGTAAGACAGCCGACTCGCCAGCAGCGTTAATCGTGGCATACCATTTGCTTCATGCGTTGCACATGCTGATTGGGAAATTTTCCTCTTGGAGATGTTTTTGTATTGGCTTTGCGGTTCCTGAACCTTGTGGTGCACCGTAATGGCATTAGGAAGAACTTGGCTTTGGAAAAAAGGGTGATAGGATTTTATGTGAAGCTGCCTAGAGTGGAAAATTGATGGGTGCTGGAAGTAATTGTGTGCTCAGGGCTGGCTCAAGGTCACCCCTTCCTGCAGGTATTGGATCAGAGCCCGTGATTGTGAAAATACCAGGCACTTTAAACTCTGCTTTCACTGAAAACTGAAGTCCTTGCAACCTCAATGCCTGCAGGGGCCTGAGCCCTGTGCTCAATACTGCCTGGCTGATACCTTTTTTTTTTTTTTTTCAAATACAAAATTGCTATGTTAAATCTATGCACTTATTTTTGTGTGTACATAGAGTTAGCCATATGTTGGTGTCACCCTCTTTCTGATTTTTGCACTTGTTAAACAAAGTAGCGGTAGATAGGTTGTGTGGGCAAGCGAACCGTGTGTGTCGAGTATTAGCAGCTTTGCATTGTGAAACCAAATGTGTAAAACCTTTGGAAGATGTTACGCAGCTTAATATATGCCTTGTAAAATAATTCTATTTTTTTCCTAAAGTTAATTTAAAGGTTCTAAGTGTTTGCCCAAAAGCCGGGCCCGTGTGTGGCAGCAGCGTTGAGCCCCCTCCATAGCCCTTCCTCGAGTGTCTGTGTTTGGAGCGGGGCAGGAGGAAGGCGAAGCAAGGGAATACAAGTAAAACGATGGTGAATATTTAATTTCATCATTTTTCTCTAAGAAATAAGGATACCCAGGTGCTTGGAAGTCCCTAAGCGTTTTATTACCAGCTGTATTATTTCTTTCGATGAAACTATTTAATAATGTGTGTACAGGCAGACAGCTAGGCGTCCAGCAGAAACAGTGTCGGGTCCCCGTGCGTGACGTGGCTTTCAGTTATGCTTGGTAGTGGTGCAGCTCAGCTTCTCCAAGTCAGCTGGAGTACAGCACTCCTCCTCCTCCTTCTCCTCATGGAGACCACAGTCCCTCAGGGTCTGGTATCCCAAGGTGTGTTTACAACCGATGCTGCCCCAGATTCATGGTCACATACAGGACACTGTTTGTTAGAGACTACGGTGTAGGCAACTCTCATTTGCTTTTGGAGTCCCAGCTCAAATAAACTCAAAGGTTCATTCTCCTCAATTATGTTGAACTCAAGAGATGTTAATTTTCCGGGAGAGGTAGGTCTGGAGGACACAGCAGGTCTCCCCCCAGCCCGAGCACTAGCAGGACTTGCATGGAGCACTACTGCCGTAAATCAGCCCCTCTCAGCGGAGCGGCCCAACTCCATTTGTGCTGATTTTCCCAGTTCTTTGAACGGTTTTGTGTTTTGGGAATCCGTGCTGTAGCCATTCCAGGTGACATTGGTAACTAGTTGTAAAATACTGTCGTTTTTTATTGTCGTTGGTTGTATAGACAAGTTGGTGTACAGTGCTGTACAGCTGGAGGGTTATCTGTACATAGGGGGGAAATGAAGAACGTTATGTGTCGCCCACAGCAAATATTGATATTGTTGGTCAGCCAAAGATTTCTTACTCTTTGCTGTTTAAACTTGTGCCTTAATATTGTATATAATAAATGTATAAACATGTTTCTTTTCTCACTTTTCCAGTGTGAATATATTCAGTCCCCAAGAAGAAAGGACTGTTTAAACAGTTCTCTGAGCTTTGCTCACAATGTGCTAGTGCTAAGAAGCAATACCTCAGGGACTTCAGGGTTGTGTCTCCTCTGTTTTTCATAGCTGTTAATGGAAGGCCCCGCAGCAGGTGCCATCGGTGGGTGCATGGGGGCACGAAACCAGGGGGTCTGCAAAGCAGGGGATCAAACTGAGAGCTTTGCCAAGCAAGAAGAGCAGGATTTTAGCCAGATCATCTTCACCTGAAGGAAATGAGGGTGGAAACTTAATGAGACACTTTGGCAAAGATCTGAAGAGCTTTTAGCCCTACGTTCCCTCCATGCAGAGCCCCCCCATTGATTTTTTTGTTCTTGAGGGCTCAGGTCTTCTTTGCTTGGCAGGTGTTGGTTCAGTGTGAGTGAGATACCTAAATAACTTGTAGATCTAGATACTCTTGAGTTACTATAACGTAAGGAATACAGATCAGATCCCATTTTGGGCAAGGGGAGTGCTCTGGCCCGGTGGAAATATTGCTCATATGTTTGCTTATGCAACTGAAATAAACTGGGGGAGGGGAGCAAAAGTTACCCAAGTGTCTGACTTAGAGTAAGGGAGGTTTGCTCAGCAGGCTTTCACATGCTCTTGAAAGTGTCTGTTAGAAAATTCCTGAATCAGGTCCCAGGGAGCTGCAGGCATGAAAGGCACGAAAGCCACTAAGGGCATTTCTCCCCTCTGGGCTCTCCTCTGCCTGTCCCAATCTCCTCTCCTCAAATCCTCGCACATGTTAAAAAAACAACCTGCCCTGGGCAGGAGTGTGTCAGCAAAGACCCAGGGGGGTTGCAGAAACTTGAGCAGTGGTTTGCTTCACCCACAGCCCAGCACCTTGTGTTCCCAGGCGAGCACAGGTCGGCCTGACCCATCTGATTACTCCATCTTCAAGACATGGTCGCTGGAAGTATTTTTAGTGCCCTGGCTCTCACCACCAAGAACAAAAAATTGGTGATTGCTGAGATTGTGGCTCTTCAGCTTTCTTCAAGTCAGGATTTGACAGTAAGATCTGGCGCTTAGCCTGGTTTTTCAAGGCCATGGGAGAAAAGAAATCAACAGAGGCAAAGCCAGTATTAGGGTGGGGAAAGCCTTGTGGCCAGCTGTGTTCAGGTACAACAAGGCAGGGTTTTATCCCTTTTTTGGGTTGTGCCTTCACTGCAGATATGCCAGCCAAAAAACCAGAACATCACTGCAACACTGTCTCCAAGATAAGTGCATTCTGCATATTAGCCTCAGGGGAAAAAACAGTACAAAGAAGCAAACTTCAGAGTCGATTTGTTTAAATGTTAAAATCCCTGATTACTGCAGGGTCCCAAAAGTAAGTACTGGACAGTGGTAGCCTTACTTACCGCATGCTGGGAGAGAGCTCAGAAGAGCTAAAAATATTAACAAAAATGCCATTTACAGGCATTCAAAAAATCACAAGTCGAGTCCCACCCAAAATTATGAGACCTTTTCAGGATTCACTTGCATTCAGCGCGCTATACAGCTGTGACATCTCTTCTGCTCTGGTTTGTTGCCATATTCAGGGCTTTCTCTTCCCTACGTTGTAGGAACAAACATACACACAGCAGTGAGGTGCATTCCTGGGGAAAAGTTGTGACTTCTTGCATCATTAAATGCCTCCTGGAGCTGGACTCAAGGCACGCTGCGGCAAAGCACGGGCAGACATCCCTCGCCGGCAGGAAGGATGCTGCTAGGGGTCCGCTCGCTGCTGGGATCCCCAGTCTGGGGTCTGGATGCAACCCAACAAACCGGGCTGGGTTTGTGCATCCCACTGTGTTCCTGGACCACCCTTAGCCGGGGTTTGGGGTACCCTGCAGTAGGTAAGCTTCTCACCCAGAAAACACGGTGTGGGGGTGGGAGAGCCCCTGCGGGTGGGAGGTACCTGGCAGGGTCTGTGCCAGGCTGCCCTTCCCCGCCGTCAGCCTGCAGTGATGGGGGCTTGAGAGAACATCTGCACGTGGACCGTGAGCCCCGTCTTCTTACAGCTCTTGTTACAGGGATCATGGCAA